CAATGGCGATAGTAATGCTAGGTGTTTATACAGAAGATCATCATGTGATCACGTGAATTTCAGCATCATCCCCGACAATTATTATTGATTGTTTATTGAAACAGAAAAGTTATTTATTTTTGTTTCTACGTTTTTAAAGTTTACTGATCTCGGTGGAGTTTTGTTGGCCATCACTGGGTAAAATTAAAATTTTTCGATTAATAACTAATAAATATGTATATACCATAATATTTAATACCATCTTTCCAAATAGTGTTGAGGCCTTATTTGCGGACTTGGGACATTTTAACCGGACTGCCATTAAGATCTCTTTTCCATGTTTCGTTTATTTTCCTTTGGTTTTAGTATATACAGGCCAAGCTGCACGTCTGGTTTTGGATCCCTCCGTAATTGCCAATACTTTTTGGTTAACTACTCCTAATAAACCTGCAATTTATTGGATTGTATTTGTTTTAGCGATCTTAGCTACAATAATTGCGTCTCAGGCTATGATTTCGGCTACTTTTTCTTTAGTTTACCAATCAATGCAATTAGATTGCTTTCCAGCAGTTAAGGTAATGACATGTTTTATCATTATTAATACAATACAAATATATAATTATCATTTAATATTATATTGTATAATTATTATTTATTACTGTTTTCAAAATGGTTGAAACTAAAAAAAAAAATTTTTTAATGATATGTATACACATATGCACTGACTTAGAAGCATCGTTAATAAAAAAAGTTTTTTTAATACTTAAATATATTAGATTTAAAAATTTTTTTGCTATTAATGATTTTAAGCCAATACACAAGCATACATATAATACTGTATATATTATACTCATGTATACTGGCTTTAAAATCATCAATAGTAAAAAAAAAAATTTTTGAATACTTTAAATTTATTAGTTATATTTAAGTATTCAAAGAATTTTTTTGTTACTGATTAACCAGATATTAGAACCCTATCAGGAACGGTATGTAAATCGCTACCCTATCATAAACGGTACCGACGATCCATCAGTAATGCGTATTTAAAAAATTTTCTTATTTAACCATTTTTAAAACAGCAATAATCATATAATTATTATTTAATATGAATGTATAATTATCACTATTTATTTAAAATGTCATTTTTTTATTTATTAAAAAAGGTTATTCACACATCAGAAAGAGTTGAAGGTCAAATATATATTCCAGAGGTAATTAAAAACTATTTTATACCTTTATGTTACACATGTATTAAATTACTTTATATTGATTATTTATCATATAGATTAATTATACCTTAATGGTCTTAATCGTGCTCGTTTGTGTCGGCTTCCAACATTCCACAAACCTGTATTTATATTTCTTATTATTATTATCTCTCATTTACTCATTTACTCAATTTATCTATTCACATTATTTATTTTAGGACGGTCGCTTACGGTGTAGCCGTTGCATCTGTAATGATTATTACAACAACCCTCTTAGCAATTGTAATTCGTCTTGTCTGGCGTCTTCCTATTATTGTTTCAATTATATTCTTTTGTGTCTTTTTCACTATTGATGCTTCATTTTTGGGTGCAACCTTACGAAAAGTCGAATCTGGTGGTTGGTTTACATTGGTTGTTGCTGTACTTCTTACAATTATGATGAGCATATGGAGATGGGGTACAGTTCGCGTGATACGTCATGAACGTTCACAAACTCCTGATCTTCAAAAAATTTTTAAGGAGGAAAAAATTGTTTCAAACGAAATTAATATTACCGACAATGATATCAATTCGTCTCACGAGATTACTTTAGAAAGTGGAAATGAAGTTTCCAGTGGTAAGACTACAAATATTATTAATATTTTAATATAGATTTTACAAATCGGTAATACTTACTTTATTAGAAGTTGCAACTCACTTTATACGCTCGCCGGGTATTGGGCTTTTCTATAGTGACATTGGCACCAAGATCCCACTTTCTTTCACACATTTTGTAAAAAACTTTCCAATTATGCCTCAGAACGTTGTTTTTATCACAATCAGAACTGTAGCCATTCCAAGAATCATTGATATCGATGATCGTTTTATAGTGAAAAAAGTTAAAAATTATGAAGGTTGTTATCAAGTAACTGCTAGATATGGTTATGCAGAACAAATCTCTCAAGGAAGAGAATTTATTTTACAATTAGTTGAATCAATTCGAAAGATTGATTCTGCGAGCACAAAATTAACTCAAGATTTTAATCCTGATAATGGATCCGTTGTATATGTGTTAGGACAACAGTATCTATGTTCTAGACATGATTCTCCATGGTGGACAAGAATTCTAGTTAACATATATACGTTTATAGCCGTCAATTCTAGAAGGTTCTATAGTAATTGGGATATTCCTGTTGAGAATACTGTTGTTGTTGGTGTAAAGATTTCGATTTAAATACTAACTAATGTGGCAGATTAAAATGAAATTTTGTATAAAGTAAAATAAACAAGCCACCAAAAAAATACAAAATTTTGGGTGCATTTTTTTTAGGGGTAAACAAAGTATAGGTGGATTAAATACAGTATAAAACATCCAATATTTTTTATATAAAAATTTGCGCGAGTAATATAAATTCTTCCACCAATCATTCCTTTGTCGATCATCATTGAGTGAAAGGACCGTCAGTTTGAGCAAGAAAAAAAACGGTAATACCAATGTTTGTACAAACGTTTGTACAAACGTTTGTACAAATGTTCATACCAACATTCATGTTAATTTTAATTGTCCGAAGGACATTACGGTAAAAACTACCCCAGGATCGTAATTACCAAAAAAGTACGGACATGTGATCGCGCCAAAAAATCTTTAAGTTCGTTTAAGATTGGGTTAGGGTCTATGTTAAGGTTACAATTTTAGTGTCCTAATAGTAAAATCGTTCAAGGAAATTCGAACGTTTGTTTTGAATTTTCCTGATCGTGTTACGTTACACCTGATCTTGAAATCTGATTGGTTTGCGCCACAAAAAAATCTCCCAGTGCAATTACGATTGCGAGATGTCTCTGCAGTTCTGACCAACTCGGTCTTTTTGTCATGTATTCTGCTAACCTTAAATTCAATAAAATATCACCTCCGGCATAAATCATCAGCCGGCATTGTCCAATCATTAAAGTTGTGTAAAACGAATGCTTTTCGAGCAATTTACATACAACGTTTTCAAAACAGTAAAACATACGATTACTTGTTTAGCTTTAAATATAATAAAGAGTAAATGCGAATTTGGTTATTCTATTGTGTTATGTAATAGCAGGTAGATCAAAATCAATAGTACAGAAATAGAAATCAGATCTCCAGAATGGTATAACGGTAGTCAAGATTAGCAATTAGGCGACGACCATGAGAAAATAAATTAATTACTGAGGCCGTTCTCAAGCGCCTCCCTCAATGTAATTGACCAGTGATCGAGGTGACGCTCAAACGCTACGATCAATTGAAATAAAGATTGCGATCGATGCTTGAGCTACCTCTTTCAATCGATTTCCATTAAGACTCCAAGAAAAAAAAACAATTACCCAGTTACTTAAAATTTAGCACCCAAGACTTTGGCGCTTGAAACTTTGCCTCCAGCATTCGTCCTCTTAACAATTTCACAAATAACTTATTATTGCAACAACAGTCATATTTGG